TATTTCTCTTTGGCACCCTATTCTTTCTTTTAGCTTGTATTTTATCATTGTAATTATAATATTTAATAAAATTACTACAAGCAAAATACTTTTAAAAAATACACCACCTGCAGATAAGCTGAGCCTCAACATTTTGTGTTTTGATTTGCATAATTGGCTCATCCACAGAGACAGCAATGGGCAACAAGAAACACAAGCCTGTTGTAAAACCATTCACACCAACCAAGAATTCCACTAACAAAACAACCACCCAATTCCCACAAGGGAAGCTTGTCTAAGTATATTATTTAAACAAACAAAAACATACCGCAGCAACTCTGAACATCAGAAACAAGGAACTGATCTACAGAACAACAAAATGGTTATCCACCACCACTTCATCAAACAATGCCTGACCACCCAACCCAATATAGCACAACCAACATAAGTTGCCAAAAGGACTACACTGCCATAAATCAAAAACATCTCAGAAATCAGCAACAGACATTTACACCATATGGCATCATTGTAGCATAAATCAACCAAAGCCCTCCAAAAGATCCTAAATAAACCAAAAATCTAGAAACCCCAGAGGAAAAAACAGGAGTCATATATATAAGGATTGCAACAGACACTATGAAGGACAAACAGGTAGAAGACTAGCAGAGTGCATTCATGAATGACAACTAACAGAAGACATGAACATTCCTTCATTTCCCAACATGTGGATAGACTTGACCATAGTTTCAGTTGGGAAACTGTGGACATCCTAGATTAAGCCAAGTCCAAAAATGCCAGAATTCCTGAGAGCCTGGCACTCTGACAAATCAGCCATCAACAGGCACATGTCAACAACATATCATTCAAAGAAACAATTAACAAGGAACAAAAACCAGTAATCAACACCCAGATGAGCAAACACCAAGATTAACATTAGACGAACAATGAAGAAGCAAACAATCAAGGAACTGCTAAACAACCAAATAGCCCAACCAAAGAATCATCAAGACCATTCCCAGCAAGACCAACAGTCCAAGCCAATGGAATATAAAGTTAGAGCAAACCCTACACCCTACTGGCACTGATCTTACCTAGTTTAGTAATGAAACATCTCAGAGAGCACAAATGATCCCAGTGTAACCCTGGGCTACAAATATTATCTTCTATAGGCTTCTCTCTGTTATAATTCATGGATTATCCATTTTTCATGGATTATCCATTTTTCATGGATTATCCATTTTTCATGGTAATTTCATGGTGTGTGTGTGTGTGTGTGTGTGTGTGTGTATGTGTATGTGTGTATATATAATTTGTTTTCTGAAGTTCTCGCGGGTATTTGTATGTGGATCTTTGGTTATTCGGGTTTTCTCCCACGCCTTGTCCTATAACTCCTAGTCAGTGACGGAAGATGGGAGAATACAGTTCAACAATACCTGGAGGGTTACACCTTCTTCAACCCTGCCATGTGGCCCTGGTGGGTGTGGGTCTGGTGTCATTCTTCATGTTAGGTACTCATTTGTTAATGAGGGTGGGTTTCCAAATGGCTGGTAGGCGGGAGGTATCATCTCATTTATTCATGCTGTGTGGGCGTTTTTCTATCTCTATGGCTTCTCTGATTATTCTGTTGTTGAAGTGTTCAGTTTTGGCGATAGTTCTGGTATTTTTAAAGTCAATCTCATGTCCTGTGGCTTTGAGGTGTTGGACCAGGGAAGAGGTTGGTTCTTCTTTTTTAATTGAGTTCTTGTGTTCCTCAATGTGTGCACTTATTCTTCTGTTAGTTTGTCCGATGTATGTGGTGGGACAGGCGGTGCAAGGGATTTCGTATACTCCTTGGTTTTCTAACTCGATTCTGTCTTTAGGGTTTGTTAGAATGGTGGATATTTTTCTGTTTGTGCAGTATGCTGTCTTAATGTTGTGTTTTTGGAGGATCTTGCTGATTTTGTCTGTAGTGCCTTTTATATATGGAAGGAGGGCTTTGCTGTTCTCTTGTCCTCTGTCTTGGATTTTGGTTGGGGTTTCTTTTTGGATTAGGCGGATAATCTTTCTTTGGAATCCATTGGTCGTTAGTATGTTAGTGAGAGTGTGTAGTTCGGTTTTTAGGTGTTGTTCGTCGGCTAAGCATTTTGTTCTGGAGATGAGTGTCTCAGCTATGGAATTGATCTGTGCTGGGTGGTGGTGTGAGAGTGTGTGTAGATAGCGGTTTGTATGTGTTTTCTTCTGGTAGATGGTGTGTCCTAGGGAACCATTGGATTTTTTGTATACTAAGATGTTATGTCTCACCTATATTCACAAGTGAGAATACAAAGTTCCACAGTTTCAAAACATTCAAACAAAACAGAAGCAGACCACAAAAGGGTTAATAATGCTATATTCCAGTCCTTGGCAGACTTCCCGGAATCTGTCTGGTAATTCAGAATGTCCATAAATTACAAAGGCCGCTCCCCACGTATCCTTTCGACACATCAAACACTGCTTCCAAGCAAAGTTTGAGACTCATCACGCCTCCTTAAATCACCTGGATTGGCGTGTCAATCTCTCTAATCACTGTCTGACTTGACGCCTCCCCTCAGCTTGACGTTTCAGTCTCCTCCTAGTTCTGGCGTCAAGCCACGATCTGTCAGCTTCCCCACTCGAAGCCTCTGATAATTCAGACTCCACATTCACAGCAGGCTCCAGCCTTTCATCATCAGAATCATCAGAGTCAAAACTCACAGCAGGATCGATCCTTCCAGTCACAACACTAAGATATCTAGGAAGGGAAGTTGATTGTTAGCTTCAAAGACACCCCCACTAGCAGTTAAAAGGAAGAAGCAGCTGCAAGCTCACATTACTCCGAGAAGCACAAAGCCAAAGACACAAGCCTGAAGATGACGAATGAGATTTCGTCGAAACATCGCCAGGATACTTCCAATTTTACGCAGGAGAAAACCTGAGTAACCAAAGATCCACATACAAATACCCGCGAAAACCTCAGAAAACAAACTTACATACATACATACATACATACATACATACATACATACATGAATGTAAAGGCAAACTCAATTTTGGGGATAGATTCAGGCACTGAAAATTCTTGCCTTATTTACGAGGAAAAATGGTAATCCAAAAATAACTAGAAGATTGTCCAGATTTGTATATTTAAAGAAGATAATGCTTAAAAAATCCTTAAAAGGGGGAAAATATAAGCAGTCCATAGTGCTTCTTTTCCAAACATTTCAAAATCAGTCATGGATTGTTGTTTTTTTACACAGCCAAACAAATCAGCTCAATTCTTTTTATAATACAAGGTTAGACTTACACTTGCAGTGACTCACATTATGTGCTCAACAGATATTTTAGGTTCAGTAAAAGGGCAAATCGTGTATAACATTTTAAATTATAAATTTATAAATTCCACGTTTTGTAGCCAGTGCATTTTGAAGCATGGAAAATAATTTTTCTCACAATGAGAAATAGCGCAAGGGTTGTGCACCAATATCTTTTTATGAGCAGTGTTTAATAATTCTATTATGATGGTTTTTATATACATCATAGTTTTGATGCTTTCTTGTGATAATTTGATATAAAAAGTGACAAAAATTTGATATAAAAAGTGACAAAAATGATTAAATACTAATCCCTCGTTACTCTAGTTAGTCTCTTCCTAGTATTCTTCATGGCTAACAAATTTCCTGTATCGGTAGGTAGGTAATGTTTTACGTACAATAATAAACATTAACACTAATTCAATGACTCGTTTAAAATTAACATTATGGACAAGAAAGCTGTAATGTTGTCAATTCTTTAAAGATATTAAGCATCTATTTGTCATCCAGGTCATCAGGAATGCCTTCTTCAGAGCCGGTTTTGATATCTTTTGCATTATTTGGCAAATTTCTGCCCCTTCCCCACATGCAGCTGATACTGTAACTAAGGCATGCCCCACACTACCTTTTTGGTTTTTCCAAAAATCTCCTCTACCAGATAGTTCATGATTCAGCAAATCAATACGGATGATGGTTCAAACACCTTGGGCAGATTTTGGAATTTTCCCCCCTCAGCAGGGAGAATTTTCTTCATCTGACAGTATCTTTTAGTGATTGTCTCCCAGTTTTTGCCTCATGGCAGGGTTGAGGAAGGTGTAACCCTCCAGGTATTGTTGAACTGTATTCTCCCATCTTCCGTCACTGACTAGGAGTTATAGGACAAGGAGAGGTCCATATATTTCCCAACTTTGCTGTGGAATGTGCTGTATCAGATGCATATTTCATCGATGGAAGACTTTTTCAAGCTGTGCCACAGTTTTAAAGACTTGTTTAGGCTTAGCATTTAGGGTGTTTAAAGTTATATCAACCTGGGGTATAAATTATATTTGCCAGTATCCAGGACATTTGAGTACAATGCTGACAGCCAAGAAGAGGAATTTTAAGCTCTGCCACTGAAAAAAGCAACACACACATTTTCAATATGAATAGTAAACCTTTAACTAGATTTACAAATTGGTGGCAGGCTCTCTCACTGGTGAAGACATATATTAATCCCTGAAAATGTAAAATGGTATAAAAATCTGCATCGATGTATGTTGTTGCTACGTATTTTAAAGACACCTTGAAATGGAAAGTGTTCTTACAAAGGGCACGAGCTTTCGATACTTATTTACTCCTATGAAGAATATCAAACAGTCTTGACTAAAAATTAATTTTATTCAGAGTGTGAAAATCATACTTTATAATCAGATTAGAAATGGGAAATGCAATAATTTAAAACCACAAAATGGAAACTTTTCTTTTTTCTGAGATGTTACCACAACATATTCCTTTTATTTATCAGTGTTATCGGAGGAAGAGTATTACAATGTAATATTGTTAAGTCAATTTTACTTGACAGCAGAGTAAAGGACAGAATTTGCATACAAACACAGGCTGAAAAACAATTTATACATATTCTTTCCATAAAAACAAAAATTCCATCCTATCCATTGCTGGGATTTGTTTTTCTGCTAAAGTATGTTTAAAGGAGGCTCCAGGGTGTGTGTGGTGTTTTTTTTTAACCCTTTGGCTTGATACTATCTGGTAAATGAAAATACTCAAAAATATCAGATCTCTGAACTGTTTTCCAAGCTAAATACTAAAAAAGAAAGAAAAAGAAAATTGGTTTGAGGTAGAAAGGTGGTCATGGCTCTCCTTTTCTTGCAAAACTTCTTTTCCTTCTCAAAATATCTATACCAAAATATATTTCTTTCTGGATGAAAAATCCACATAGTAACCTGCAATCTATTTCTGTTTCCTATTCTGGGCAACCCCCCCACCCCTGCTGCTGAAAAAAATAATACTTTTAGATAGCACTTTGAATCATTTGATTATATAGCATATATTATCTAATTTGACCCTCATAATACCTCTAAGCATAATTACTACTAGCACCATCTCCATACTGGAGATGAGCTATGAAAAACGTGAGTGGTTACAAGACATCATCCTCCACATCACCCCGAGATTAATGCTTCTTCTACTGCAATGTCATTTGGGATACCACCTCAAATTCTGCTAGGACTCACCTTGTAAATGATAACATAAAATATTGGACAGGCCCGTTAATAATATTCAACAGTGGAATTTCTCCAACACTATTTCGGTCCTTTAAATATGATTATTGCACACATGCAATATATGGAAAGAATGAGCGAGTGCTTTATAATGAGATCAAAGGGCCAGGCAAAGCCACACAGCCAATGGGGAAGGAACCAAGCCCATCTACTCATCATAAACAGTGGCCGAATTTTTCTCCTCAGCTGGCTCTACCTTGAAACGCTGACTGTAAGGGAATCATTTTAAAAAAATGTACAATGCTATTGATTAAAGGTATCCATCCAGCCAATTTTGCTGGCACAAAGGCAGAGCAATTAAGTAGTGAAGTAGTCTGAGCTCCTTCATTTAGGTATGCTTCCAAATTACGATTACTTCAGGACTAGATTTCATACTTTGAATGGGGTGATAGACATAAAATTTGTCACAGTACGATGATCGTGTGTTCGTCACAGAAAATAAAAACTGCACATATTCAGAATAATTGTAGCAAGGTAAAAATGCAGCCTAATGAAAGAATTAAAAACAACAAAATCTGGAAGAAAAATCATTCCACATTCTGTGTGGGGGAAATAAATCCATTAAAATGCTACTTGAGTGCCAACAGTTATTGTAGCTGAATGAAGTTAGTGGGGGCAAAATAGAGCCCCATGTGCCTAATAGAGCGCCAAAAATGGTATTTGTCAACACTAACTGCAGTTTATGAGAAGCTGATCTTTTGCCCATGTTTTCGGACTCTCAGGCGAAGTATAAATGACCTGTGCAGAAAAAGCAGTGTGTCAGAAGAGAAGGTTCTTGAAAAGGTAAATGCAAAAAGCCAAAAGGAATGTATAAATATAACTCTTTGCTCCAAACTCTAAAGGCAATTCACTTTAGCAATATCAAAAAAGAATGGGTATAAATCCCTATCATCCCCTTTCCTGATGCTGCATAATTATATAAATCAAAGTACATATGCATAACCATTTCCAAATACTCCACGGTTTGTTAATTTACAGTTGCATAGAGAGGGAAGAAGGGAAAAACATACACAATAATATAAAACACGACATCCTTGTCTTTGGGTAGTTCAAGTGTTTTCTTATTTGGAATAAGAATACACAGAGCTGAACAGCAGGTTACAAAGTCCCAAGTAGCCATGTGATAACTGAAACTTGTGATTGGCACTGGTTGAGCTGAAGTTGGGAAGAGCAGGTGATCTTCCAAAGAAGATGCTCACATCGCCTGAAGGCAAGAAACAGTAAGAGAAGAGCAAGTGAGGGTCATATTGTGCAGAGGCAACAGCTTCTTTCAATGTCAGCTAGCTGAGTTAAATTATCTAAGAGGCATCACATTTGCTAGGAAGACAACAATGACACATCTTACAAAGAATGCGTGCCTAAGCTTTGCCCTGTGGAGACCATACTTAATCATGGCTTAGGGGTTTAGTTGTATCTTTTCTATTTAAAAAAAATCTGTCTCCTCGTAAGTTATTATTGGATAGGAATCCCAGGCTCAGGGCCAAGCCTGTTAAATCCATTTCACCACATGGGGTTGTTTTCTCTATTAGGCAATAAATCATAATGCCTGTTTTGTCCCACCTTCCTCTCAGAAGCTCAAGGCAACCTATCCAAAGCTTCCTTCTCCTATTTCCCCCCCATAATAACCCTATAAGGTAGGTTAGATAGACAGAGAGTATAGAGTAGGGCTGTCAAATTCCTGGCCTATGGGCCTGATGTGTCACGCACTGACCACACCCACGCCTGGTTTAGCGAAGGGGGAAAAAAGTCCCAATACGTCACGTGATGCTGCCATGGCGACAGGAGGTTGACACTCCTGGTATAGACAACATGCACTCTATATACTGTATGATAGACAGTATGTTTGGTCAAAATACCTCTAGAGGTTCTGTAGGTTGACTAAAACCTGGGTTCCCTTGTTCAATGTCGAAGACATCCTTACCACTACAACGTATTGGCACTAACCAAGTATGATGTAGAAACTCCTCTGGGTTGAATCAAGATGAGCAAGCTTAAAGCATATGCTCAGGACATCCTACGCTGCAGAGCAGTGGATGAAATAGCTTCAGATAATAGATTTTTCCTCCCTATTGATTATGTCTGTGCACTTCTGCCTTGGCATTTTGACAAAAGCATAGCAAGAGATTCTTCTCTTATTACAGAATTGTACAGTATTAATATGAACGGTGGTAATCAGTTAATACTAAACTGGTAACTTACCAGTAAGTTATCACTTTATTATTAACTGATTACTACCATTCATGATAAATACCTAAAATGAAGGTTACACATGAAATATTACTATCAAATATTAATCCTCCCCCCCCCCCGGCCTTTTTGTTTACAAGTCCCATGTCAAAAGTGTCTTGAACACCTCTATAAAAGCCAACAAGGCACCCAGCCTTCGGGTGCAAAAGGGCCGACACAGAAGCCTTGGCCCTGAGAGATGACAGGATGAGTGAGAAGCAACTTTGTGGGCATCTCAGTGGTAAAATAGTTCCCTTGCAGCTGGTCCTGGGAGCATTCCCGCACTGAAATGTGCGCTGAAGTTCAAGTTTAGAAGAAGAGAAAATACCCAGACAGAATTTCTGAGATGGGTATACAATCTCAACATAGTTTTGGAGCTATTTACAACATGTTTCCTTCAATTATACCACAAATGCAGGATTTTGTTGACAGAATATGAACAAGTGACAGCATTACTATCCTTGAATTGTTAATACCATTTTTTTCGTGCAGGGTGTCTCTCTCTCTGTGTTTAATCTTTATTTTTCCCCCTATGAATATAAGAAAATTAAAACAGTGTTTCCTTTTCACCATCATGAAATGCAGAATCAGATCTATGCTCCATGGAAACCAAAGTAGCATGAAAGTAGATTTGGTTGTGGTTTTGTGCTACAGGTAAAATACCAAGGTAGGATGAGGTCACTCATTCCCACATGCTGCATTTTTCAGCCAGGTAACCCTTCATATGCATAAAATCCTACTCATCTCATACTCTGCAGGAGGTAGGGCCATTAGAAAAAAAGATATTTTAAAGCTGTGCCTTTGCCCTGAGAAAAAGTGAAACAAACATGCCTGTCCCATCAAAACCTACTTAAAAAGCATCCAAATGTTTCATACCTGTGATTTGTCAGCAAGATTTGCTGTAAATAAGAAAACACAGCAATTAGTTTGTCACATAATGCAGACTCAAAGTTTAAGATATAGCTAGGCTGAATGCAGAAAACAATTTATACCCGATACATTCCATGCTTTTCTTTTGCAAATCTGTCAGAATTCCTTCCCATAAATCCTAAGCACTCTATAAACCATTTGATTATAACATAAAGTATTTGCACAGATCAAATATGTATAACATTTTAATAGCCATATTAATGAAATTAATTCAAATGGAGAGGTTTACATTATTGCTATAACAACACATGGTGATGGCACAGGAAATATATCACTCAAATAAATGACAGGTTTAAATTTAAACCTAGAGACCAGAGAACAGATAATTAAGCAACTGTAAAAAATAATGCCAATCTGGACACCAAAATGATAAAAGCAGAATCGTACTGCTGCCACTTTCACATGGATATACAAAAGGAAAAGACTGCAATGGTGCAATACAGATAGTCCTCAACTTACAACAGTTCATTTAGTGACCATTCAAAGTTACAATGGTACCGAAACAAATGACTTATGACCATTTCTCAGTACTTATGACCGTTGCAGCATTCCCATCACGTGGTTTACATTTGGATGCTTGACAACTGACTCACATTTATGACCGTTGCAGTATTGCGGAGTCATGTGACTCCCCTTTTGCGACCTTCTGACAAGCAAAGTCAATGGGGAAGCCAGATTCACTTAACAACCGTGCTATTAATTTAAGAACTGCAGTGATTCACTTAACAAATGTGGCAAGAAAAGTCATAAAATGGGGCAAAACTCACTTAACGTATTTCTCACTTAACATAAATTTTGGGCTCAATTGTGGTCATAAGTTGAGGACTACCTGTATTACTTTCATTGGCCATCCTTTCCCTGCAGAATGGAATGAAATGGAAATAAACCTCACTTAAATATTTTGCTTGATGATAATCCCAAATTAAAAGACAGCATCTTATCGCCACTCCCACTTTGTGAAATTGGATGTAGGTACCCAGTTGTAACTTTCATATTTCCCCTTAATTTGGGGGGGGGGGTGTTTACAAAAACCACACAATTAAAATATACAGAACTAATTTGATGTTAGTTCATAAAATGGAAGGTGATCTAGATGATCGTAGGGGCTTGTGTTCTGTAGGAAGGTGTGAAACTGGATTAAACAGGCATTCTGCTAGAAAGCTTCCCTTAACCTTCTTAAGGTCTCTCATATCTTCAGGCCTCTGACACAATAAATCCAGGACTACCATAAGATTTTATGAAATAGTCATAAAGGCAAACGTTTCCCCTGTCTGGTTGTGTCCAACTCTAGTGAACAATGTATTTCTTTAGCCAAGGGAGCCAGCATTGTCCAAAGATATTTCCACGATCATGTGGCCAGCATTAATATATGCTGGGACACAGGGAATGCTGTTACCTTCCCACCAAAGGTATTCATCTTCTTGCATTTGCATGCTTTTGAGCTGCTAGATGGGCAGGAGCTGGGGCAAGGAACTCACCCTGTCATGCAGTGATTGATTGAGTGTCGAACCTGGGCTGTCAGCTTTCCAACTTTCCAACTGACAAGCTGAACACCTTTAACTGCTGAGTCATCACACCCCCATAAATAATCATATTTCTATCTTTGCTGGTTGATTACTAATTTGTGATGCTATGATATGAAATGTATACATCACCTTCAAGCTGATCCATAAAGCATCTTAAAAGGGATGATTGGAAGTGTAACGACCTAGATCCAGACTCCCAATAACTTGCACCCATTTTCATTTCCATCCCCTCAGAAATAAGTTCTCCATCTCCCAACACAGAGGAGAGAGAATCTGCAGAACAAAGGCCTGCTCACCACAGCTTCTCTTTGGTTTTATCACCTCTGGAATTAACAACAAAGCATGGCCCAAGAGAAAAACAGGTAGTCCTCAATTTAGTTGTAATGAAGCCTGTGCTTATCACAATCATCGTGATGGTCATAAATAGATTTTATGACCATTTTTGCAGTGAACACAGTGGTTAGTAAACAAATCAATGGTTTGCTATGGATGTGGGTTTGCCAAAAATCTGAAGAAGCTATCGTTTTTTGGCAAAACTATCCAAAAATATGGTCATGAGTGTGTGGTCCAGTTGTCAAGCAATCAAAGTTCAGTCATGTGACTGTGGGGAGGAAGGTGATGTCAGAACTTTGAATTTGGGTCCTAAGTACCCTTCAAGTAGGTCCATCAGAATTTTGGACACTTATAAATTGAGGGCTACTATAATGTACATTGGCCCTAGGTGGCTATTAACATTCTATATACACATGTCTGGAAAACCTAAATGGGCAATTTTCCAGAGACAGATCTAGCAGTACTTAATGATCTTATTATGAAACATGAGGACAAGACAATGGTACTCTTCTAACTCTATGCAGTTTCTTTGAAATGTATCTGTTATTGTTATAGCCTGTAAGAGGTTTTCTAAAAAAAGAATCCATATTAGGCAATGTCATTCAACAGACAAGAAGAAAGAAAAATACAGAGACCTTATTTTTCAAACCAGTGTTATTTTTAACAAACTGACAGGGTCTTTGATTCTAACAATCCATTTTCTCCAAGGTTGAAGAAATGGACGAGTTAGCATCATTAAAAATGCATTGCTAACTCAGTATTTCCAGGAAATTAAGAATAGATTTCACACACAGTCTCTCTCTTCTGGTTTGCCAAGAAGCACCACAGCACTGTTACTCTCCTGAATGATCTTATTGTAAAAGTGTTCATTTCATAAGATTTGGGGAGGAGGGTGCCTTTGACTCAGTGTTAACTCCTGGCAACTCCCTGAAGTTTACTTGGCAAGGTTTTTCAGAATTTGCCATTGCCTCCTTCCTAAGACTGAGAGAGTAAGTAACTGGCCCAAGGTCATCCAGAAGCTTTGTTCCTCAGGTGGGAGTAGAACTCATAGCCCTTGGTTTTTAGTCTGATGTCTTAACCACTACACCAAAACTGGTTCTCTTACCATTGCATAACATTATCTATTAATAAATATATACTGTTAGATCAGAATATCACTATACAAAATGCTTTGAATGATCTTTCATGTTAGCTCAAATAAATGTTGCTACATCTACCAAGTGAAAACATGAGTCATTAATTATTTAGCCTTGAATTTAATTGTTCTGTCATTTAAAGTAAGGGATGTTTTCTTTAAAGGAGAAATTGTCCCTCTTGGTTATGTCAATTTCATCTTTCGTTTATACTAGGATATTGGAACAACTTTATTATATCTTCTAAATGTGGATTTGTTTACAGTTAAGAGTTGAAATGTGAAGAAATCAGGTTTACATGTTCAATTAATGAGATTATTTCAGAACTTTTTGCTAACCCTTGGTTTGGAGAAGATGTTACTTATTGGATTTTCCTATAGTTAAGAGTGGGGTTATGGTATGAAAAGTTTTATATTTGTTCATTAAGAGGAAATGAAGAATTAGTGAAATTTCTTATACTTGTTGAAATAAAGCTTGGAAATGGCTTTCTTGGGGTCTTCTTTTTCTATTTTCTTCCTTTTTTCTTTTCTTGCAATTTTTTTCTATTTTTTCTTTACTTTTCACTTTGTATTATTTTACTATTGTAATTAAATCTTTTATTTATTTATTTTTAAAAGAAGGCTCTGAGATGCTCCAAGTCAAAACACGAGTACAAAACACGAATACTGTACATGCTTTATATTGTAGACTTACACTGTGGCATTTCAATGAAGGACACCATCTTCTCCCTCTTTTATCGTCTTTTCTCAAGATAAAAAGTTTCCAGATCCCTAAATCTAATCCCCTTGATTATCATTAACTTTTTTTGCATCAGTTTGGTTGTATGAATCTTTCTCAAACTGTAATGCCCAGAACAGAGCGAAGTGGGGACAGGTGTGTTAGAAAATAAGAGTCCAGATTAAAATTATTTTTATGAGTTCTGTAAATAAAGAAAGCAAGAAAATCCCTATTTTCCTATTCTACTTCCCCGAATATGCCCAATTTTAAATGACTTGTTCTTTAATGTATGTGTTTTATATGTATACCACAAAATCTTCAACAACAGGCTCAATTCTGCAGTGTGAACAGAACTTATTTTTTTCTAAAAATTATGAAATTATGAAAGAAGAGATGTTCTGAATAAATGCAATAAGGATCCCACTTGCTGGTTAACATTCATATATTACAGTATTTTGTTATGTGCACAAAGTAAATGTTCTAGAGAGATAGCAATAACAATAGCACTTACCGCTTTATAGTGCTTTACAGCCCTCTCTAAGTGGTTTACAGAGTCAGCACATTGCCCCCAACAATCTACTTTCTTTTAAACAAAATACTTTTTTAAAATACTTTTTTTTAAAAACAAGATACTTTCCGTGATACCATTTTTATCCTCAGTTGCCTGGGAGGCAAACAGAAGTTCAATTTCCATTCTGATCACAGTGGATTACTGAATGAAGATGCCTTCATTCTCCACACGCAATGATTAGAAGAGCAAATCCTATCATTTAAAGAATATCAAAGGCACGGTAGAACTATTTCTAAAGTGGAATTGATAATTTAGGCTTAATGCTGATACTTGAGAAGTTTGAAAGGAGCAGGAACTTCAAGGAAAAGCTTTAGGAGTCTTCCAAAGTGGGAAAAGGTTTTAGGTCCCCATATTTTTTTTCCCTCAAAGAGCCTTTTTAATTAAGCTTCCTTTTTTTGTGGTTTGATTATTAAGAAATTACTGTAGGCTCTTAGTTGGCCTAGAGGTGGAGTCCTCACCTTACAATCGGGAGACCGCAAGTTCAATCCTAGGTAGAGGCAAATATTTATCTCTCTGGGCACACTGAGAATATATCTGCTGAACAAAACTCTGCATTGGCAACAGGAAGGGCATCCGGCCACTCTGCTAGCTCCATTCAGTTGCCCAGACTACACCCCGCAAGGGATTATGGGGTCGTTAAATGAAGATGATGATGACCGTAGGGTCTTAGTTCATTCTGAGTAAAGTACCAGTAGCATAGCTGGTTGTTGAGGAGGCTCTGCAACTTATTTGCTTGTGTTAATGAATACAAGTACTCCTCTACTTACGACTACAATTGAGCCTAAAATTACTGTTGCTAAGTCATACATTTGTTAAGTGAGTTTTGCCCCATGTTACAACCTTTCCTGTCATAGCTGTTTAAGTGAATCACTGCAGTTGTTAAGTTAGTAACATGGTTTTGAAGTGAATTGGCTTCTCCATTGACTTTGCTTGTCAGAAGATTGCATCAAGCATCTGAATTTTGATCATGGAGATCCTACAATGGTCATAAGTGTAGAAAACTGTCATAAGTCACTTTTTTCAGTGCCGTTGTAATTTCGAACAGCCACTAAATGAACTGTTGTAAGTCGAGGGCTACCTGTATGTGAAGAACTCTTTCAGAATCTCACTTGTATGATATCTACTAACAAATACTGCAACATACAACACAAAATCTCACCCAATGAAGCTAAACGATGGTGAATGATTTCATAAAGACAAAGATGAAATACTTTGATAGATTAGAGAAAATCTATGAAATTCACTGCCATAGCATCTAATGACCCCCCCCCCTTTTTTTTTAAAGGAGTACTAGATGAATTCATGGAGGGTATAACTATTGGAGTTGTGATAGCTGTATACCAACAGCAAAGAAAAGCCAGTGGCATTTTGTTATGTATCAAATGTAGTTGAACAATGTGATAAATCGGAGGCTGGCTAGATAGGCTTTTGGTATTTCTCCATTTCCCATGCATTCAAGAGAGGAAAATAATTGCCTTTCCTACTAAAGAAAAAAGTCAATGCCATGCCATCTACTGAGCATAATGGACCTTTATGTTATTCCTGTGGGTGCCAGTTAATGGTTTTACAACACAGAGCATTTCAGCCCATTATATTTTAGAAAGTAACATTCTTCCTGGAGGGACTCTGCCTTCATTAAATTTAATTTGTTAGGAGCTAGAGTTATCACAGGCTGATTACTAGGAAATGCACGGTATTATTCTGAGGAAAATGCTGCCCATTAAAAACAGTTGTCTGTTGTCACTGTAATGTTTATTACAAACAAGGTTTGCCTTTAATGCAACTGGCAAGAGTTTTTCCATTGCACACAGGATACTGTAAAGCCTACTGACACTGCTATCATAGCTTGTCAACTGTGGGGTTATTGCTTTCTGCTCTTCATCGCTCCATCTTGATCTTAGTCGTGTCTTCTTTCTTTCTTCTTGATCCTTATTAAGGTAGCTTCATCCAGGCACCTCTTCCTAAACTAGCCTCTACATGACTAATCAAAGAATGAAATTCTGGGGGTGCAACTATTAACATGCACACATTTGTGCTTGGAATACCAACCAACCTAATCTAATGTACTCTAATCCAGGGGTCCCCAACCCCCAGCCCATGGACCGGTCCATGGCCTGCCTGGAACCGGTCCGCGCAAGCAAGCGAAGCTCCATCCCCACACATACAAAACCACGTGCTCACCCATTCCACAGAAAAACTACTCTCCACAGAACTGGTCCGTGGTGCCAAAAAGGTTAGGGGTTGCTGCTCTAACCCACAGAAATACACATACAAAACATTTCTACTTTTTCTCCATAGGAAAAAAAAATAGATATTTGCTCCTATTTTGTTATGGCCTGTCTAAACATTGGGTCCTGACAAATAATAATGGTCAACATTTTGAGACTTTCATCTCATTTTGAGAGTCTCATTTTGAGACTCTCAAAATTTCCAAAATCCTATTTTAAAAAATGGTGAAATTGTATCAAATCCACCAATCTGATAAGATTTTAAACTTTGCTGTGGGCATTATTTTAAATGGCATTCTACTTCAATGTATCTTTTTTCTCTGAGCAGATGGGCAGATTTAAAAGCAAAACACTGTTTGTAGCCATTAACTATTTTAAGGGATCCAAAATATAATTATAAATAAATATGTTATTGAAAGCTTGCAAACAGAAAAAAGGGGGGAATAGCATGAAAAGGCCATCCAAGTATTCTGCTAATTATCTTTAATATAATCTTTAATATTTTTTGAAGTTCAACATTTTGCTTTACAACATGTAATTAACTCCCCCTTCATTGTATTTGTTAATTAAAAGAACTATACCAACGAACTGCTTAATTTGAAATATCCTGATGGACTGGGGGCAAGACTACTACATAAGATTGCCATTTCCTCTTTCATCTCTCTTTCAGTCCCGCTCCTTTCCCATGTAGACAGGAAGATACATCTGTTTATCTAAAGTCTGAAAGCTCAAGTTTAAATTCTCTGATCTTGCTATCCAAACATTGTCTATTTATTTTTAAATAACATAACCATCAGTATGTTTTCAGTGCTCAAACAGGCTTTAAAACCTGTTTTTAAGTTTCCTAAAGCACTTTAGGCACTATATGTGTAAAGGTTAAATTTCACCGTAGGTTCACAATTTCACAGCTTTTGCTACAACCCATGGTATTCTACAGTTCCTGACCAATTCCAACATCAGAAAACAATTTTCTTTAATTGATCAATTCCAGGACAGAATTGGAAACAAGAATTCAAACAAGATAATGATATGTTTCATGCAACCTATCATTTTCCACTTTAAACAATACAGAAAGCTGATTTCTTAAATTCTTGAAATTGCTTAGTCTGAAGGAAAGCATGTTTCTACCTTTCCTTGTTTTTAATGGTAATATTATGACTGTAAAATGTGAAATGAAGGTTACAGCTGAGAACAGAAAAGGACAGAGAAAATACAAATCCTTTGGTTGATGTCAAGGCATGATGGTCAATGGAGAGCATCAGTCATATACTTTCAACTTCAGGAGTGGATTTAATGGGACTGATTTAAGGATCTTTTCTGTTTTCACAATTTCAATTCAGCATAGGTTTGGGAAAAAAGATGGCATGCACATGTATGAGAGAGGTGTTAAAAATACTAATTTCTAAGGGAAAATCCCTTAAGTATGTGGAGAATAAAAAAGTGTGTTTTGACCTTATGCAAGCCTTTCCAATTAGCTTGTTCTAAAGACCACCTCCAAAGGGACAACAAAGAGTTTGAATCTGATCAATATTTTTAACTGCAAGTAATCCACATTTCTATCTCATAGTACTTGTTTAGAATTGGTACTCCACATTCTAAATTAGAATAGAATTTGAATAATTATCAGAAAAAATAAATAAACCCCAGGAACCAATTCAAGTAGCTGGATTTTAATTTGCTTTCTAGCTAGGTTGTAAAGTGTATGATCTCCATCATGTTTCTGCAAAAAGGAAGGAAATTTATATGAGAGATGGGAGATATTTAAGAGAGTTTAATACAGACTGGCTTAGAATTATGGTTAATAATACTGTAAATGGATCAGATTATTATAATTGAGTATAGCAGAGCACCACTACAAGCAACATAATACGTAATAGAATTTGATTTTATCTCAGTTATTTTGTATAGGATTGTGTACCTTAAATGGTTTAATTTTATGAATATTAAATGCATTTGATTTTATAATTTCAAAGGAAGCAGTACAAATGGGTATTGAATTAGAAACAAACATAAGTTCTCAATGAATGTCAGGTCAACTTAAGATAAAGATTGACAATGAAAGTTATGCAAAATAATTGCTATCTATATGTTCATGCACTCTATTAAGGATCAAAATAAATCACCCTAATGGAGCACAAAGTATTCACCTATTTAATGAAGAATGAACAATTAGTAAAATATTATCAGGAATGCATAAATTAGTCGTTATAGTCAAATTTATCAGAAAAAATAAATAAACCCCAGGAACCAATTCAAGTAGCTGGATTTTAATTTGCTTTCTAGCTAGGTTGTAAAGTGTATTATCTCCATCATGTTTCTGCAAAAAGGAAGGAAATTTATATGAGAGATGGGAGATTTGTTTCTATTGCTGTGCAGAATGAGGCTACTTTGCCTTCCATCTTCTGCAGATCTGCATCCTCTTAGTTGACTTAGCCAATTGTCTCTTGTGTATTTGTTGGAAAACATAATAAAAAATTCATACCCCAAGCAGCAAATATTACCACTTTAATAGGATGTCATAATGAGAACACAATTCAAAAGTAGGTAAAAATTGAATTTGGTGCATCCAGATTTTAAAAAAATGTATTTGGAGGGAAAACAATGAATGACAAAAACATAACCAAGTTAAAAACCAAGATGTTGGGCAGCCTGGGGATGAAAATCTTCTCTACCTGGTCAACTTCCCCCAATGTAATATGTCCTATAGAGGCTCTAGGCCAAGCAACAGAGCCAAGGTTTTAGGTGCTTCCTGAAGGACAGAAGAGTGGAGATGGATCTCACCTCTGATGGATTTAGCCATGTGGTTTAGCCACATTTACATTTGTGCCAATGGCAATTGACAGATTTTGCATCATGTCATTTAGAAAGCATTTTAAGGTATGTATGCAATAAGAAATTTGTTTCAATTTCATTGCATTTGTTTCAACAGCCTAACACAACTAAACTCTGGAAAATTATGAATTTTTATGAACTGTTTAGTTATATACCTTTCCTGTGTAAGGAAAATAAAGGGTTTTTTTAAAGAAAGCAAGTTTCAGATCTTTATGGACCTGAATATATTATGGAGTAATATATTACCCTATGATATTTTTGGGAAAGTAACTGTTGCCCTTTGATTCCAGACTGGAGAGCCTCCAAAGTGTATTCAGTGAACAGTTTTACATAACATTAAATGATTGCTTTTCCAATAGGCAATTGTATTCAAGTTCAGCTTCAGATTCTTGGTTGGGTATGTTGAATACTTACAGCGGCAAGCTGGAAATGTGCTATTGATTTGTTCCATGACCTCCGTTAAATCTGTGCTAGTATGATGAGGTGGGACTAGCAAGTCATCTATACCTAAGAAGAACAAAATGTGCAATGACTTTAGTAAAAAGTGTAATAGTATTTAAAATCCCCAAAACTGCTTCCACCTACCCTTATTATCATTATGGTTTTCAGAATAATTAAAAAAAAAGAATTCCACTAATTGAAATCTTTGATTTGTTATGGCTCATTGATAATGGTTTGGATAGAGAGGGATAGAAATTAAAAGTATCAATTTATCCCTTTTCTCATATCTGAACTATAAAGCTTATCCATGATGCCTGCAATAATATTGGACAGAATTTTACCAATGTAATTAGTTGTGGAAATTGCAGTTTTATCAAGTAGGTGATACAATGGCTCTATATTTCAAGTCTATGTATTCAGTAGAAAGCCTCAATGCCAAAATGGCCAATGATCATTATAAAGACCAGAACCTCCATATTTTGAATAAAGAAGAGAAGAAAAAAATGAAAAGCAGTAGTCCTGACTGCCAAATGACCCCATATAGATGATGCATGTTCCTTGTGTTCATGAGCACCAAAGTACTGGTCTTCAGTTGTATGCCTTAAAGTTGAGGTAGAAACAGTTGGTTCCTTGTTCTCTAGTTTCCCTAAGGCTCTATAATACTTTTGGGGTATTCATCTGCTTCTCTTTGACCCAGCACCCATTTCATAATCTGGACTATTTTGTGGCTAGTGGAAACTTATCTGTCCGTCCATCCATCCATCCATCCATCCATCCATCCATCCATCCATTTAGCTAATCATTTAACCACCCATCCATCTATCCAGCTATCTATGTATCAACTCATGTGTCCATCCGTACTCTCTCACCTACAAACTTATGAAGACTGCAAAAAAACATGCAAGTATTGTAAGGTTTGGCTTGGGCATTTAAAATTTTTGAGGGGCTGGGACATGAACATTAGTTGTTCGAATAATACAGAGAATCGTCTTTAAAAAAAAAGTTAAAAAGATTTAAAGTCACAAAACATTTTTTTTCTCTTTTTCTACTGAATATTGGCAGCATAGTTTAGTGTAATTCCAGAACCTACAAAAAGGGAACTGGGGCCTCTATGCAGTACTAGGCTGTGGAGTACTGCATAGTATAGTATGTGGAGTACTGTAGTATATTTTCATCTTGACTGGAGAGAGATGCAAAAAGAACATGTCCTATTCATAGGCATTTTTAATATCAATGTTTGTACTTAATTAAAAAGTTCAACCTCACCCTTTAAAATTTATTTTTAATCTCAACTATTACAATAAAGTCAAAGTCGTCTATCATCACGAGGTAACAATAGCATAGTAATTGTTTTACTTGTCATGCCTCTGGCCTGACTTTAATGGGATCATTTCACAATTGTTGAACATTCAGTAATGACATATTCAGTTGACGGGTTTTGGATTCTTGGCCATTTTATCTACTTAGCTCTTACATTCTTCTTAATATTTCATTGTTTCATATTAAAGTTTTGTAAGATGCCCAAAGGGCTTTACAATGCTAAAAATGCTTTATAGTGGCTAAAAAGATAAATGAATGAATAATGTTCATTCATTTTTGCATTCTTTTTGCATCCAATTTCAGAAAAGTTTTGAATCTTTCAGTCAATGTATGAAGCTTTGTTGTTCTGAGTAACAAATTACATACAAGTAATTATACTTTTTCCTAAGAATAAATTGAACACCTGACCTGGATAACAATATATTACACTAAGCAGCTTCTGTAGTAAATTCTCAATTGGTTCTTTGTGCCTTAACTTTCTAATTCTAAAAAGAAATGCTCAGCAAGCAAACAAAAAAGTTTTATCTCTCTTATTGAATTAGGCAAATACATATACTGAATATTTATATAATGAACAAGACACCATACAACTGGTGAGGGGACAGAAAGGGGTAGCCCCATAACTCAAATTTCAACCTGAATATACAATCACAAGGTATCTCAGATCTCAGCATACATTTTGCATGGGGTTAATTTTATAACTCAATAGACTTTGGAAACTGACTCAAGGGAAATATAACACTACTAGCTGTGCACTGATTAGTAACTTACCTGTCTGATTAAACAGTGAACTAGCATCCTGATCAGATGAATACCCAAGGGTGGATTGCTGAGGTGAAGCATTAGAATAGCCCCCATTAACCCTGGAATCTGTTTCAGGCTGTAAATTAGAGGTGGAAAGAAGTTCATTTGAACATACCAGAGCATACATTAAATATTTGATCAAATCTGATAAAACGTACTTTGTGGTATTCAATATCCAGAATTGAAATGAATCAGACACCATAAAGAAGAGCAAGCTTTTGAGACAGTTAAGTGTCACTTGCTGAGCCTGCTGGTTTTCTCCATATCCCACAATTATGATGGCAAATAGTTTGTTCAGCTGGTGACATATATCGGACTTTTAATAGACTTCATAATAGTTTTGATGTAAACTGAATCCTATGTTGGCTTTTGCATTTTTGGAATAGTTCAAAGATGTGTAGAGACAAGAGTCAGAGCAGAGCAGAGCAGAATATCAGTACCAATGCAAGTGACATATCTTTCTAGCCAGGGATCCTCAACCACCAGTCTGCAGCCTGGTACTTGTCCACAGCCCATTGGGAACTGGACCATGCAAGCGGCAGACAGTGCAAAGCCCCATTTGTGAAACCATCCTTCTCCCCTGAGGCTGCCACCATTGTCACTGGTCTGCACAGCTGGAAAGGTTGGGGACCACTGTCTCTAGCAGTATATTTCTCAACTTTGGCAACGTGAAGAGTTGTGCACTCCAACTCCCAAAATTCCCCAGTCATTGAGAAACACTTATTTACAATAATGCAGGTAAACTTGGTTTTCTAGGATTAAACTAATTCTACAAAAGGATATTTTAAGTAACCATTTTCATGTTTTATTCAGTACATGATACTTAAAAACTATGTTATAAAAAGGGCACCCATAAAATACTGAGCATGAGTGAAATCTTCGGCTGGTACTGTTTTTGCTTTTGTCCATACTTTTCTACAGTTGTTTTTCATTAGCTAATTTAAAGAGGAATTTTTATGAGTATTTTGATGGCTCTTCCTACTAGATTATAAAAGAGAGAAGCTAAATTCCATGTAATACTAAATAGTTGTTCCATATTACAAAGCAATTCTCAGCAAATTCTGGGTTTATGAATTCCATTAATCTCACTCTTTTTTCAGCTTGACATGAATTCATAAAATATTTTGCTTTCATTTTTTGACAAACTCAACGGATTCCAATGCCATATAAACAATGGTTGATTTACTGATAGCCTATTTCTCTTATTCCTTGTCTATGAATTAATAAATGTGTTTGATCTGCAAGCTTCCAGATTTTCATAAGGATTTAGTTAAGACATTTATGATTTCGTTAGAATTTCTTTTTTTAACATGTCTTAATGAAGCTCCTATGTGCAGCTCCACTTCATCTCTAAATCTGACCTTGTTATTGCATATTTTACACACAATGGAAAATTTCACAGCAACCATCAATCCTTGTTGAAATAAAAATAGTAAGTACACCTTCAAACCGTGACCTTAAATATCAAGTTTTAACATGATGAAATGCAGGAATTCAAAATAGTCTTAATATTCTCCTTTGATACCACCAGCTCAATTAGTCCCCCCCCCCCCATAGCTCTGAGAGACTACACTCTTGACAGGTTATTAATTTAATCAACACTCTTCAGTCAATATATCATAATCACAAAGATTTTTTTTTAAAAAAATGAGACTGATTTGCAAATAACATATTAGAAAAACAAACAGTACCACGTGTCACAAGGTTATATAACACTTGTCACCACACAGTCCATTTTAAAACCAATTGAAAAGAAATGCAACTGAACTACCCCATAAATAGACACTGTAAAGAACAATGCATATTATTAACGCTTCCAAAAGTTCCAGGCTGAAAGAAGGCTATTATAAAATGTTTCCTGTGCACTATGAAAAAAGTGAAATTTGTGATCTAGTTCAATGCCTCAAATACAGGAGACGAGTTAAAATGCAGCTGGACTTCCATATTTCAGAATGAATGTTTTTTTTATTAATAGTAGGAAAAGATAAGAAGTCCCTTCTTGTTTTTTTTCTCCATGAATTAACAAAAGGGAGAATTAAAATTCTTACAGCAGCCAACACATTTAGAATGGGTAGTTTAGTGGGTAGTTTGATCAGTTTTTTTGGCTTCAAACTACTTGAAGCTCTACCACATTTCTATTTCTTTCACCCTTAAAATCCCAGTAGTGAAATAGCTCTATTGCCAGATAATTTGAGGTTGACAATACTTGCAATCAGTAAGCATTAAGATATTCACTCAGATCAATCTCTTGGGGGCTTTTCTAATTTTTTCCTAGTTGTTCTTTGTGGAAGAACATTTGGAAACCACTTTTTAAATTATCACTCAGGATTATAGGGAGAGTATGCTGCAGACCCTGTCAAAATTTTTTCCACATTATGGAACATCCTTCCCCCAGTGGTGAGGTAGGCCCTCACTCTTCTGGCCTTCTGTAAAGAGGTCAACACTTGGCTCTATGGCCTTGCATGGGGGGGCGGGGGGGCACAAAGGTCCACACAATTGTGGGGCTGGCTGTTGCCACGGGTGCCTTATGAACCAATCTTAAATGACCAACTTGGAACTTTTATTTTGGCTATTGTTTCTTTGAAATTTTATGTTATTATCTTATAATTTTTTAAATTTTAAAACCTAAAGTAATCTTAATATTTTATTATTAATTTTATATGCTGCTTTATATGTCGATTATACTATACACTGCTCAAAGCCCTTCCTTGAAGTAGATAGGCAGTATGGAAACATGAAATATAAATAAATAAATAAATAAATAAATAAACAAATAAATAAATAAATAAAATATGGCTTTACTCTTGGCAAAAAAATTAAAATCAGTTTGCAGAGAGAACCCAAATAGAGCACAAAACATTATGTCTGTAAAGAAATCAAATACAATTAACTAGTTTCACACTGTGAGTCTATAAATAACTGCTGTCCTAGGGAGAAAGTCACTGAATACAATACCTGTTCCAGCAGTTGTCGTAGCCGGTGAAGCTGAGATTCCAGTTGCTTGTTGTGGTCTTCCAAGATTTGCATTCTGGCTTCCAGGCGCCCTTTGTGTTGCCGTAAAAGTTTGGCCTCTGCAATGAGTTCAGCATCTTCAATAGTGTGTTGAGGTGACACAGCTGAGTCTGGAGGTGAATTTAGGGCATTGATTCCCTTTCGAAGATGCTGTTCCTTGAGTTGCTCATATTCCACTTGTAGCATCCTAAAGGGAATTTTTTAAAAACAGCTGATTTTAATAGCAGAAGAACGACAGGAAACTCCACTTAAAAGGTTCTCCTTGTTATCTAATTGTATGAAAAGGTCAGAGCAACTTATAAGATAAATGTTTGACTAGTGATGGCGGGAAAATAATGCCAATAGAACATTTTTTTTTCCTTTTTGCAGGTTATCTGCACAAAATAACTCCGAAAGCTGCAGGAAGAAGAAACCTCTCTATGCAACTCTTCCCCATGTGATTTGTGATTTATGAAATGGCGGAAAATGGCTCTGAAAATTCTCCATCCATGGTTTAAAACATTCCCCTTCATACCACCTCAACACTCCTGGAAAAAGTTAGGGTTAAGGCTATTTTTTTTTAATAACATACAGTATAGGACCGTGATGGCGAACCTATGGCACACGTGCCGGAAGTGGCATGCAGAGCAATTTCTGCCGGCATGCGAGAGGTCACCCAGGACAGCCCCACTGTGCATGCACGCGCACGCCCCTCACCAGCCGATTGTCAGCTATCTGCTGCACATGCGTGGGGAGAGACACGCACGCATGTGCAAGGGCCAGGGGCCAGGCGGAGGGGCCGTGCATGCACAGAGGCGTGCAGGGGTCATGCACACGTGTGCAGAGGCGCATGGTGAATGCTCAGGGGGGTCACACACACATATGCAGGGGGACGGGTGTCGCATGTGCTTTGCCTTATGGGCGGAGGCACGCAACAAGGAAAAGATTAGCCATCACTGGTATAGGACATAATATATCGCCACTTTTTATTTTATACTGGCTGCTGAATTTAATAATGTTTTATGCAAAATCCTATGCTGGAGTTCATACAGGACTATAGCAATTTGGCCAGTAACACATATTTGAACAGAGAAGTCATTTCTTGATGCTACTATTAATGAGTAGCAAATATGAACAAATGAGTCAATCTTTATGTCCAAATTAATTTAGAGAAAATCTCACCTCTGTCAGATTCTGCCCCATTAATCAAAAAAACAGCAAGCTGATTTCTTACAGAATTTATTCACCTCACTCAGGAAATATCTGTATTATATATTTAGGTACTATGAAATTTTGTCGCTTGTGATCTCAACACACTAGAAATTTCTGCCAAATTATAATTTTCATGGAAAATAAAAAAAAAATGCACGGAGAGTAATATTAATTATGCTTAATGGAATTTAGTTTTTTTTTCTTCTGCTGGTCTAGTATGTCCTTCTAGGCTTATAGTTTGGACTGCAGTGAAAATTCTAACCTTGCTGTTTCAGACAAAAATGGCTAGGGAGGTCCTCAGGCTCATAAAAGTTGGCCACTTCTTGGGAATATAAACTAGACTTTGATTTTAGTCTGGAATCTTTCTAGCTCTATCTGGGGAAAACAGAGATTGAAGTTTTGATTTCTGGAGTGTAAATCCTGTCCTCAACCATGGACCAACAGAGTGTTTCTTGCCTTTATATTTGGTGTAAAAAAAAGGAAAAGGAGGTGGAGGGGCTTCTTCGATTCAGTTTAAAAGAGAGAACTCACTGGGACAGGAGGCGGTTGGCATGGAGAAACCTGAGCAGGTGCAATTATTTGCATTGGTTGAAATGTTGAGATATAAGAAGAGAAGCAAGGAATGGAATGGCCAACCGACCAAGGAATGGGACAATTCCCATCATTTCAGTTTTGAAAGACTATTTAGCATATTTGATTCCTATTTTCCTACTGACACACAGAAATAAACCTCTGACCCTTAAATTTTTTTTTCATAGCCAATCTTCAAGACATGGTGAATGTAGAATAGGGTTATGGAACCTTTGCTCTTCCTCGAGGTCAGCAATGATTCGTTCAAGTTCTCCTCGTTCTTCTTTCTCCACTGACTTCAAGATCTGGGTTGGACTTTGTGGTTGACTCATTGGCGAATCACCTCCCAGCGTCTGGCAATACTGCTGGATAAGAGCATGTTCATCTTCCCTAGAGTATATACGTGTTTGAAATATAAATGAATTGTATATGAATACTCCATGCATAACTAATGCCATAGTTTTAAATATTATAAAATTGGCTGAAAAGGCAAATAAATAAGTGCAAGATGTATTAACTGAAAGAAGATAAAGTTGCAATTTTATAAAGGATTAAACCAATTGCTGCTTTAAATAGTAAGCCACCTTCATAACACAGAAGAGCAACCTATTTCTGTGGAATGTTTTGAGGAGGGTGAGGGACCCTAGAGTTATCTAGAATTGCACAATGGCAAAAAAAATGGTAAAGCAGTTTCCTACCTGAAACAAAAACATACCAAATATCATGTAAGCCCTAAACCTTCCTCCCCCAAAACAGAAAAAAGCATGGGTAATCTTGGCACTGCCATAAACACGCAGGGTTTCCCATTTTGCACCACTGTATTATGCATTATGGACTTCATCCTGCAAGCAATCGCTTCTTTGTTGAATTAACATCAGGTCAAATATTTTCTTGCTGTCTCCTCATTTTTCATCTGCTTTGCCACCTGACTGATCTAAAAGCCATCCCTGAAGAGACCAAACTGTTGAAGGCAGATCTATCGTGCACACGTCAATTTCAGGTAAACATTTCCATGATGACCTAGTGATTGTGAAACAAACAGAAAGGCCCCTGATGTTAACTGAATTTTGCCCCATTTTATGACCTTTCTTACTACAGTTGTCAGTGAATCACTACAGTTCTTAAGTTAGTAACATAGTTGTCAAGTGAATCTGACTTTGGTTGTCAGAAGGTCACAAAAGGTATCTGACTTCAGGACACTGCAACTGTCATAAATATTTCTCTTGTTTAATTGGGTCACCAGAAAACGGTAGTCCTTCCGTTGTTCGCTGACTCTTCTAGGGATTTGTTTCAATGCCATTATTTCTTTCCCTTTGTACATCACTGACATCCCTTATGATCTTATATATAATGTCCTGACTTTTTTACGGGCATATCTTATGTGTACTGGGGAGTCTATGGCATCTGGCATAGCTTGTGTACACTCTGTAGACTTCATCTAATTCATTTAAAATTTCCTGCCTATCCCTCTGAAGGGCTTCTGCAATCAATTCCGCCATCAACATCTCCAGGTCCTCTTCCTTTATCTCTGTTAAGTTCTGGAACCTCAGGAAAAATGAGGCCTGATCCATCTCTAAATGTATCAAAGATTCTTCCAGGTCTTTATTCAGCTCTGTCATCTTCTGGTCCATCATTTCTAGTTTTTTCTGTTTGTTCTGTTCTATTTTCAATTGTTTTTATTCTTTCCTCATTTTTCTGGATTGCTTCTTGGATTGAGCCCATCCTGTCATCAAGTTTATGTATCTCTGTTTTCATCTCTCCCATTTTTAATTTTATTTCTCCATGGTTTTTTGTCATGTTTTCCTGGAGTTTAACCATCATTTCTTGCATTGTCAACAATGTGGATTGCATCATCTGCATACTGGGAGTAGTATTCACTTTTTCAGTGGTAAGCATTCCTTCGATTAATCATTGGCTTGATGTGGATGAGCTAGATATTGACACTGATTATGTGGTTATCTTTCCTGTTTTCAGGGTTGTGATGCTAGTCATCTCTTTTATAATTTATGCTGTTCTCCTAAGATTTTGTATATATTCTCCCAAATTACCATCCAGTTTAATTAATATGCTCTATACTATGGATTTCTATAGTTTATATTACTTTCTTTCTATTCTATACAATTCTATCTTTCAGGGTAGATATCAATAAATATTAATAAATGTTACTAAATAGTACTAGTAATTAATAATAAATACAATAAATATTAATATATCAATTACTACCGTATTTATCGGCGTATAACACGCACAGGCGTATAACACGCATCTTCATTTTAAGAGGGAAATTTCACCCCCACTCCCACCCCACGCGCGCGCTTCAATCCACAGTGTCCCATTCTGCCTGCCTGCCTGCCTGCCTTAGTTTCTGGTTGTTTGGGAGCAGCTTCGGCTGAGAATAATAACTATTCGCCTCTTTTACTCAGCCGAAGCTGTTCCGATTCAACCATTAACGAAGGCAGGCAGGCAGGCAGAACGGAGCACTGCGGGCGGGCGGGCGGGCGGACGGGGTGGGGGAGAAAGGCGACAGGAAAAGCCCCCCCCCCCCGCTTCTTTGAAGCAGTTTCTTCCTGTGCTGGTGGAGGAGCGAGAGAGCGACTGAGAGAGCTGACCCAGAGAGAAGGACAGGCTTCGGTTGCTTCCTCCCTCCCCTTCTTTCATTTGTGTCCTTGATCCCCGATCCCAGCAGCATTCACCGAAGGCTTCTTAACATTATATCGGCGTATAACACGCATACATCATTTGCCCCCTATTTTCAGGGGGAAAAAAGTGCGTGTTATACGCCGATAAATACGGTAAGTGATAAACAATAAATACACTAGGTATTAATAAATACAGTAAATACAATAAATGCAGTTAATAGTTAATAATAATAAATATGTCAATACACCAAAATCACTAAATATTACTATATTATAAATAAAAATATATCTACAATTCTAATTTCTTATGAGATCTTAAGTATATATATCTAAAGAGAGTGGAGTATAAGTTTATATAAATGTAATTTGTATAGTTAACACTAAAATATATATAGTCTAGTTACAAAGTTTCTATATCAATTCTATTATTATCACTTTACTTCTATATTTAATTTTATCAAAATATTCCCTAGTCTTTTACATCTAAATATATTTATTTTTTAGTAATTGTACAATATAGATATCTACTTTCCTAAAGGCACCAAAAAATATAAGGGATTAAATGCTTAAATATCGTTCCTCCGGTTGGTCTCATTATTGCATCAGTTCTCAATTATTATCTCTTCTCACAATGGCAGTCTCACACAATCTGCACAGTCACTTTCCCACACTTTCTCCTCACAGCCGACAAACCTATCCTCTTTCTGTTGGAGCTCCAAATTCTAGATCTTCGAAGAGCAATTCTGTAGCTATTTCTCCGAAAAAGCAATACGCCTGTCTCCTTTCTTTTATCTGCTCTTTCACTGTTTTGCTGTCTAGTCTTTTCTTCTAGGTGTTATTCTGCTCCTAATACAAAATGCCACCTGTCTTCTGGGATAAACCCTTTCTATTTGGAGACTCACTTATCTTCTTGATTGCTCCTCCAGTTGTCTCTTCACCGATCTTCTAAATTCAGCTAAATCCACTGCTTGCCTGTCGCTGCTGTACTGTTTTCTCTCCTTGCTTCCTTCTTCTTCTTCAAATTGGCATGTCACGCCTCTGGGTCTGCCATCAAGGCCAGCTTTTTCCATTTTGGGCTGAAGAGCAGAGCTGGCAACTGCACCTCTCCTTGCTGTCTCTGAGAGTTCTCCTTTCCCTTGCTAGTCCCTCCGGGACCAAACTCTGATTCAGACGGCCACCGAACGTGAAAACTCCAGCACAGGGAATGGAGTGCTGTTTCTGTGCACTGCCATGGCACGGCGTCACCGCAGGAAGTCCTAACTCACTTTTTCAGTTCTGTTGTAACTTCAAACAGTTACTAAGTTGTTAAGTTGAGGACTGCTAGTATGCACTGTTCATGATTTTATCATGCATAATTTTTCTCTCTCTTTTTTTAACTAAATCATTCAGTTCATTTAATCAAATGCTATATCTTTCATGTAATTATGATTATCTGTCATTAATGACCATTAGGAAATTCTAATTAATATCTGTTTGGTGGGAACTAACATAATACATATCAATGAATAAAAGATTTGTCAGACACTTGTAATCAAATGAATGGCCATTAATTTTTACAATAATTCCAGTTTCTAAATCTACTTACACACTTCCTGTGGTGGAGCTACCATCGGTGAAGAAGGAACCATTGCTCCGCTCCATTTGGGCCAGCCTAAAAGAAAATTGTAGTCATGAAAGATAAATTATGAATATATTTCATACAGATCAATTCTCAATTTAGCAACTGTAGTATTTATTGGCAGTTCAATACAGCTCCCATCTACTTGACCAACTAGAGTGGGGAGCACAAGAAATGTTGTGGTTCCAGTCCTCTCAGGATATATATCTGGCAGGATCCAAAAGAACGGCCTTCTCTGTGGTGGCTCCCTCCTTCTGGAACATCATCTAATACTCTTTTGGAAGGCCCTGAAGACATGGTTCTGCCAGCAGGCCTGGGAAACTCGGAGCTGGATGGGGTCCATTAAATGGCTGGTATGAATGTGTGTTGTCAGTGGGGTGGGGAGATAAGGGGTTATTATTTTTATTTCTTTCATATTATGCTTTTATGTCCTGTAAGCCACCTTGAGTGGCCATGTGCGAGTAGGTGGTAATATATATTAAATTAACAAATAAACAAATAAATAGGAATAATCAAATAATAAGTTACTGCCTATTCCATAATAAATGTTCATTCTTATTACTTAAAAACCTGATGATTGCCTCAAACAGAACCTTTTTGTAAAATATACTATTGTGTCATTGTCCCATTTTTTTCTTTCTCTTTTGAAGTAAAACCTTATTTCATAACTTTCACTCATAATTCATAATCTTCATATAGGAGTTCCAGTAAGAATTAATCAAAAAGGCCTTAAAGTAATAGTGAAACCCAACTGTGCCCTGCATTCACACAGAATATTTTCATTGGTCCTGCTGTCCCCCTCAGGCTCCCCAAGAGATACAGAAGGTGGGGTCACTCATCACATCTCTAACTCGATTTTAAAGGAGAACGGTCTCGCTTCCTCTTTATTAGTTTACATTTGTTAAATAAACTAAGCTTGGTATCAGATTGTTTGTATGTCTTAACTTTTTATCTTTTGAGCAAAGGATAAACCAATTTATAGAACCATTCAACTCCAAAAAGAGATTTTAAAATTCCAAAAACCCAAAGTGATAAATGAGGATGTGTTTCTGAGCACATCATATATTAACCATTAAATGTTCGTTCAACGATGTTCAGTCTTAGTTCTGCGACATCACACTCACACACACAAAATTTGCCTCTTACCTGTTAGCATATTGTTCTATCCTGGAATGGGTGTCATCATGAAATAGTTGTGGAGATTGGGAGGGGCTAGTGGAATTTAACAGAAAAGAAGTTGAATTTTCTAAATTATAAAAAAACTAAGAACTTTTTATGATATTAAACACAAAAGAATGGAATGCCTGTTAAGGTGATGGACTCATACATCGACTCATACAAATGTGGTCGCAAATATTCACCATTCAGAAATGTTCTTTTTTACGCCTGTTCTAGTCAAATAAATGGAAGACTCAGAGAAGCACAATTGTGCATGGTCTCATTCATTTCCACAATTTTGCAGAAGAAATATTTGATATATTAAACTCAGCTACCTTACCAAAGATGGAAGATACTTACTCATACTGCTCCGGCCACATACTAATAAGAGTGATAGGACTGAAAGAAAAGAAGTATAGAAAGAAAATAGGAGATTAAAACACTGATGCTATTTAGACAGGTACAGGACAATATATTTATTTATTGTTCTACCCCAATATTTTGTTTTAGAAGTAGTAGAGAAAAAAATGAAATGACCCATGATCAAACCCACTTCAGAATATATTAGAAAGAAAGTCATTTGATAATCAAATAGAAGAGCAGTAATCTTAAAAAACAGTATCTTTCCCCTGTCTCATACAAAAAAAAAAAAACCTAATTAAAATCTTACATAATTCTTAATTGTTAGGAATTTGTTTAAGTATCTGGCTAAAAATGAAGCTTATAGATTTTCAGATTATTACACTAATGTAAAGTGTTCATTCTATACAATTTGATTTGATTGCAATTTTTCAGTACTGTATATAAACCAATTTTTATGATTTTGGGATGTATACCATTCAACAAACAGGTGTACAGAAAGTTTGAATGTATAGAAAACTAAATCTAATGGAAATTCTATTCATTAATGATATCATTACAATGCATATAAACTGGAGTGCAATTTAAAGAGACTTTCAGGATGAATATATTTGATTAGACCATCTTAAGTGACATGCTTCTTTTTCACTGTAATCACATTGAAAGTTATGTTCTTTTTGTTTAAAGAATAAAAACCTATTTCTGGGCACAGTTCAGTATGCAATTTTAAAACTGTCTTTAATTCATTCCCACTAAGTAAATGGAATTGCAAAGTAATTTTAGATGTATTGGACTCTTTCATGAAATGTACTTTAAAAATGTCTTAAATAAGTATAGCTTATTAAAGGACATTTTATTATGCCTGAATTTTTAATACTTCTGTGTTTTAGCTTTCTTCTTGCGTTAGAACATGTTTAGTCTTAAATGAAGTTGCAAAGTATTCTCTCATTGTAGCTTCTACCCTTAGAAAATATGTTTGTGAGAAAAAATATTATATTGGAAAGACCCAATATCTGTTCAAAACTGTTGGCTCTGCTCAAGACCCAATCTCTGTTCAAAACTCACGTCTCTAAATTGTCGCCTTCTAAAACTGTTTGTACTGGCAGATAACCAAGTCGTGGGTGTTTAGCAAAATACTTCTTAGATCGGAACTTGTTTTTCAGCACTTTGGTGAAATCACGCACATCTTCTCCTGATGTTGTCTAGCAGAAGAAGAAAAACACAGAAAACACAAATTAAATGTTTACTTTCTGCTTGAAATGATGAAATGCATTACATTATATTGTCTTCCAATGCTTGTTACAATATGCAAATGACAATGATTTAAAATGACTGGAAACAAACTATTATAAGCCAAACCCAAAAGCAAGAATACAAAAAACTTGACTTAAAAAGAAAAAAAAAATCCATTTAATAAAGTTGAGTTGAACAAAAGTTAGAACAGACAAAATCTAAAAACTCTTATATTATTCAAAATATGAATTAATATAATAAATTAATTACATTTAAATGTTTTCAATATGTTCCTAAAATAGAAGCTAAGAGGCCAGCAGTGTTTTCTATCAATATACAGTATATGAGATTGAAACATAACAATATTATTTCTGTACCAAAATATTTGATTCTCCATTTGAAAGTTTTATGAGCATATGCATTGCTCAGTCAAACAAATGCTACACTAGTGCATTACCACTCACTGGAATATGAAAAAGTGGATGAATATGTAATTCATCAAATGTAGAATGAGATTTTTTTCCTACTTAAGTGGAGAAAGATACTGGTGCACTGAGCTTCAACGAAAAGGTGAATGCTACTTCTGCATAAAGAATAACAATATCAAACACCCATTCATTATTTTTAGTGATTTTTTTTTGTAAAAGAAAAGAAAACTAAGATACAAAAGTAGTTTCCCAGATTGGTAAAATTGGTAAGAAAGCCAACACAACTTTGAGTTTGTTTTTTTCCAAGAAAACTTTATTGAAACAACTTTTCATGGTCAAATTAATGGTCCAGCAGATAATGTCACTATTGCAACATGAATTCTGACAGAAAGAATGAATGGCTAATAAAGAGATGGTATTTCAATCAGTTGTGCTCATAATTCTATTTTGTTTCTATGAGTACAAGAGTTTTGTATTAGAGAATTCATAACCATTATATGTATTCCTGTGTATCAAAAGCACCTAGGAAGCATCAAGAACAATGTCAAACTAACAGTTATTTGAGATATTTAGAAGCTCTGATCTGTGAAAAGTGAATTTTTAATAGAGGTTCATAGTTCCAGGTGAAGCTCCATTAAATATGAAATTTCGTAACTATGTATTCATGTTTCAACATGGGAATGTATTTCCAAACACATTAGTAGTTGCTGCTATCCTTAATAAGGTTTCAAATAATTAAGGAAGGTTTTGGGGTTGATTTATTAGTTTTCAATAAAGGACAAAATTAATTTCACTTTGTTCGATGTGTTGCTCAATTTGTTCCTTGCTATAGACACCTGTTCTTTTTCAACCCATAATTTTCCTTTGAGTCTTAAAACTAGAAAAAGATTTTTAGTGAATCCAAAGAGCCTAGTCACTTTTGCTGAATTTGTCGTGTTGGAACAATGGAAGACTTTAATAAATTTAGAGACTTTATTTAGCCTAGCGCCTGAAACATCAGCAATTAAAATAGGTCAGTTCAATGTTTACAATTGCTTATGCATTGATTTCTTAAACTCACAAGCTATATAAGCACGAAAAATTGTCCATAACAGTTCACTGTCCCTTAAGACTGGTTTTTTCAATCAATGACTAATCTACTATAAATATATATATGGAACCCCTTTTCCAAAGCTGAAATGGGTCAAGTCATACAATACTGCACCTCACGTTTTCATTTAATTGTGACCTTCTGCTTCTGCTGTGTATATAAATTCAAAGTACAAAGGAGAGAAGTGCTCCCATTTGCCTTCTCATACCTCTCAAATGTTCAAATCCAGGGCAAAAACCTTCAATACGATACCAGAAGGGCTGCTACAAGAGTTGTTGGCACCTCAAGCAAACATTTCTGTTTGCATAATCCTTTGTTTGCAACAATTTGCATAATCAATATTGTGTAACTTTTATGTACAGGCTTTGAATGTGCTGGTAATGAAGACTGGCATTTTTTAAAAGAAGGATAGTGTTTAGCATTCTTCAGTGTGCTGGAGAATTGAATGGAGTTAAGGGGTCTCCTGATAACAATCAGATGATTATAAGTTAGGAAAGGTAATCAGAGAAAGGACAGTAGGAAAATGAATATGGAGGTGTGATGGGGGGGCATCTAAATTGAGCGGAAAAGAAAATGAAAAATGGCACAGGACCTGGAATTTACTGGTTTACTTCAGAAGCAAAGATAATTTAATGAAGACTTGATCTGAAATAAATGGATGAATGAATTAAGCAATCAATTACAAATTAAACATTTTTATTATAGAACAAATACTTCCAATCATGTGGGTGTGATGATATATGATCTCTTTTCATTCTTAAGATTATGCATATAGTAAAACACACATTGATCTGGCACCAATGTCCTTTTTAGAATGTAGCGTTTATATGGAGTCTGCTTTGCATCTGTTTCCTCAAGCATAATTATGACAAATTGAAGTTAGATTTGACTATAAAATGCTTTCATTACAGTGTAACACAGAGACAAGGTTACCACAACTTTGGCCCATGGCCTACCATGCCCTTTCATTTTGTGATCTTGAAAACATACACTGAAATTCAATGGCAAAACTGCCATTTTTTCAGTTGCCTAAAGTGTGGATATTGTTAAAATAAAAGTAAAATTGGTGTGTTAAATGGCCACATGGCTTGATTACTACTAAACATTCTTGCAACACCACTCCAAAAAGTTTTTTAAAAAGAGAGAGAGAGAGAGAAAAAACATTTTTTTAAAAACACACAAACCTCTTCTTACTTTCTGTGACATTACCAAATTTCTCCTCTGTTTTTACATCATAAATAAGTGGTTTTACAAAATGTAAAAGACACCCGATTCTGAGTTGGGAGTGTAAAAAGGAACAATTGATCTGAGAAGGGTTCGTGTAACATTTCAACATTTTTAACATTCAACGTTGTGAACATTTTGTGTAAATAGTTCCTTTAAAACTCCAAAGGTATTTTCAATTTGATTTAAATGTGCCCTCCCCTCCAATTTCTGGGCCAGAAGAAAAGTCAGAAACAACAGGTTAGGGCACAGACCAAGACTTTAAGGAATTTAATATTAAGGATGAGAATATTATACAGTGCTTTTAAAATTATGGAATTCTTTGTAGAGAAGATGAAAAGATCCCAAGATATTTTTTAATGTTACATGTGGGAAAATACAAAATACAGTACAGACTTTTACCAAAGGATTTAAAATGCTTTTTATTTCTATAATTGTGTTAAATCCCACAATGCATTTAACCTAGTTTCTGAATTAAACTATTTTCTAAATTCAGCCAAAACACTAAATCATATGCTTATGAAACAGTCTATGTTAATGAAAGTTCAGACAAAGTTCATCCCAGGGGTGGGATTCTACCAGTTCGGCCTAGTTTGGCCAAACCAGTAGCTCCGAAGATCATCTGGGAGCAAAACAGTTCGCTCCGATGATCAGCTGCTGGACCCAACTGCCCACCCCGGTTCCATACTGACCTTTATTTCCTGCTTTTGATGCTCAGCTGCATTGCGCAGCACAGCAGATTGCCGTGCGTTAGCTATTGAAGACACAGGGAAAGTGCAGGAGAAGGTCAGTAGGAAAGCCTCTGCACACATGCTAAGCGCATGTTTTCAAAGCACGCTCACCAGGCCACACCCACTGAACCAGTGGTAAAACAATTTGAATCCCATCACTGGTATTAAGCCACTCACAAAATTATAATGATGCATGGTTAAAATATTGTACGTATACAATGGCTAGATAGGTCTCGACTGGCTTGATTAAACTTATTGTAAGATTCAGCCATTTTTCATACACTCAGCTAAAGTGGTTATTGCTTTTTTCCTCAGAAGACCCTCATCTTTAAGAACTCTGTAGCAGCTGGAAATAGCTGTAAACACTGAATATTCTAATGGAAATAAATGAGATCAATCGGTCCCTTTTGATAAACACTTAACAAATTTCATCACTGTCTTTCTAAATACAACTGAGAAAATTGAGATTTTTAAAAAGAATGAATGATGAAGAACATATGGACAGCTTTAAATATTCTAATTTCTCATTTTTGCTATTTTTTGGAGCAGTTCAAACAAATCAACTACAAACAACACAAAAGAAGAATATGGGAAACTAAAATAATAACAGACAGTAATAAAGATCTTTATTACTGTCAGCTACACATTTGATGATGAGTCAGCTATAAATTTAATAAGCTCTTCAAAATCTTTAAAAAAAAACCTACATCCTAATTATTAGTTTTGGAGAATAATAAGAGAGGTAATATTGAAGGAGTCATGAAACCCTGGGCTGACAAATAGGATTCAGACAAGGTTGTTTGGTTCTCTCATAGAATAAATTTTAAGATTATATATATTATTGCCAATTTCTGGAAATTGATATCTCCAGAAGATAAATCAATGTGCAAGTGTTGAATACTACCTATAGTGTTTTCTACTCCATTTGTAGAACATCTAGATTTACAAGACACACTGAGGCAATACAGGGTTTCCTTGGTGCTATGCATTGAGGAAACTCAACCAACATGAAGTAGAGCAGGGGTGTTATTTAAACTCAATTTCATTGAGGGCTACATCAGGATTGTGTTTGACCTTGGAGGGGTCTGTGGCCAGGGTGGACGTGGCCAGCTCGGCATCACTCATGTTGGGGGCATTGTTTTCGGCTCCTACAGCCTCCTATATCACTCTGCCAATGAAAATGGAGGTCCATTTTCTCTGGCAGAGGCACCGCGATCCTTTGCTGTTTCCAGGGTGGCCCTGCAGGCCAGATCTAAGCATCCTGTGGGCTGGATGCAGCCCACAGGCCTTGAGATTTGACATCCCTGGAGAAGAGCTTTCACAACCTCTCAGTGAGGTGCCAGCAAATTATTGCAGCCACTCAACACAACCTGCTTCATCTGCCACTCTGCACTACATGCTAGGCAAATGCCTAAATTACTGTAATGGTGCCCCAGCCCTGTGCATCAAGACCCTAGAAAGCATTCCATAAGCTCTCTGACAAATATTTAGGATGATCATATCTTATCCATTTATGTGGAAATTTGGAACTTTCGTGATTAATTACATGCTCCCAGGAATAGGCTGTATGAATAATTGATGCAGTTAGCACTTGAATGCATTACCAAATGGATGTTGACATTCCTGGTATTAATGTCCTAGTTCAGGTCTCCCAATTTTTGCTTGCTGCCATGCAAGTTTAAAATACTGTGTTTTATATAAATTCCTAATTTCAAGGGAGAAATCAGGGAGGAGGGAGACTGTGAGATTACCAAGAACCTAGAATGGTGCTCTTCACTTACGAATAGAATTTCTTATTAAAGTCAAAATAGTTTTTGTCGAAAGCATTTTCAGGTTTAAAAATGAGAAGCTGATAAAGGTGATGAAGATGATAATTTAAATTTAAATGTATCTTGTTAAGTATAATGTAATTCTTAATTTCATCTGAGCAATCAGTGCAAAAGTCTATCTTTTTTTTTTAAAAAATCACAATGTCCTTGAAACAGGAATGTGTATCAATAGTCTACATACTTGTATATTTTGAGCTGTCTCCAATGTATAATTGGTGTCTACTGCAATAGATTGCCTGGGAGATTCAGTATCCATGGATTTTAGCCAAAGCGTAAAAACCTTACATTCAAAGTTTCAGGGTTTTTAAAAAACATTTAAAGTTATATTGCAAAGTGGAAGAAAACTTTATGTGAGATTTAAGACCATTCTGAAGTTAGACCCTAATTCTAAAATAGTGTCTTATATATTCAATGGAAAATATATTGCTCTATCTTGCAATATATTTGCTTAAGCTGCAAAAAGCCTCTCCCATATCAGTTGACTTGATTTTAAATATTTTATTAAATATTTACTACTATGGACAGTCCTTATTTAACAACTGCCTCAGATAGAAATGGCTCACAAATAAATGGTAACAATATATATTACCATTTATATGTTTTCTTAAGTTTTCGCGGGTACTTACATGTATGGTATTCAGCTTTGTTCGAGTATTTCCCACGTCATTATAGTTGTGCTTTTAAAGTTGTAGCAACGTTTCGGCAGAATCTCATCTGCCATCATCAGGCTTCTGTATTGTGTTCGTCTGTGAGTCAGACTTTCACAGCTGTTTCAGTTTTAAATTTGGGGCTAGCCTACGCTGTGCCAGAATGGTTTTTTCTTCATCCTGATTGGTTGGGAGTCTTGGTCTGTGTTTATTGGTCTTGGAGTTTGCTGTGTTCTGCTTGATTTGTGTTTCTAATATCTTCTGTCTGTTTTGTGGCTTTTTTGTCTTGATTGGCTGGCAACATTGTGTTCCTGTATTGGAGGCTTTTAGTGCAGCTTGGCTCCGAGTAAATGGACGGCTACTATTTATTAGGAAGCTAGGGTTCATCTGGGTGCCTCGTTGGGGTGTGTTTGAGCTGGAGGTATCAGGGGGGATCTGTTTGTGCCCAGGTGTTTGCCTGGCTTGTGGTGTGGAGATTTTTTTGTTTGTGAGTGCAGGCTTCCAAATAATTGACATTCTGGCACAGCAGTAGGCTAGCCCCAAATTTCAAACTGAAGCACAACTATAATGACGTGGGAAAATACCCGAACAAAGCTGAATACCATTTATATGTATGTATGTATGTATGTATGTATGTATGTATGTATGTATGTATGTGTATGTATATGTATATGTATATGTATGTGTGTATGTGTGTGTATATATATATATATATATACACATATATATACACATATATATGCACACATATATACATATACATATACACATACGCATATACGCATATATGCATATACACATATACACACACACACACACACACATATATATATATATATATTCCGACCAATGAAGGCATTTATCACAATAAAAGCCTTCAGTTAAGATTGGTCTGTTGATTAAAGTCTGGTCAATTTCAGGCAGCAACTGCCAGCCTGCCAGAGGATTCTAACCAACAAATTAAGGCCACAGAAATGAGCTTGTTAACTTGCAGTTAGCCCATTTTATGGATGTGTTGTAGCTCAGATATATCAGAAGAGATAGATTGTTTAAGCAATTTGTTCACCCAGGGAGGGGGCAAAAAAGAAAAGGACAACAAATGGTGTTGTATTCACAGACTGACTGAAGTCCTCAGTCAGGTCCGCACTTCAGGCGGTAGCCGCGGACCGCTCCTATTGGTTGATGCCGTTTGACAGCCGGCTATAAAAGGAGCTGTCAAACGGCATCAGCAGTTGCCGCCAGCTGACTGCCTGTTAGCCCCGGCAGCCGCAGCAACCCTTTATTCTTTGAATAAAGCCTTTGACTGTTAGCTCCGTGTCTGCCTCCGTATTTACCGCCGCTCCACAACAAATGGGTCAGGCAAAAGAGACCGTAAAGGAGAATACAATTCATTCATCTAAATGACATGGCAACAGCCAATGATCTTTGCAGTCTCTCTTTCTCTCTTCCTCCCTTCCTCATGTGGTTCACTTAGCAATCATTTTGCTGTAACCAAATGCAGTCACTAAATGAGGACTAGCCTGTATGGTTTTTATATCTTTTTAGTATGTTCTTGGCTGCCCAGAACTACATTTCCAAATTGGTTGGCCATACAAATCGAATTAATAAATAAATAAATAAAGTAAGCTGACATCATTCTAAAGTGTTGAGCAACAACAAAAGCCATTCTAAACACAAAACGTATGAATTTATATGATGAATCAAAATGATAAGCAGGGGGTACAGACCGTAGTATTCCTAGAGGAAGGCAGAAGAATCTCAACATACAAAATCATTTTCTCCTCTTTCCTTTAGAAACATGTTAGGAATAGGAGGTAAGTATGCAAGGGTTGCTCTGCCTAATCCTTTTTGACATTACAGATACATATTATGGGGTGGATATAACCATCACACTGAGGATATAATTAGTGGTGTCTTGAATTTTACCATAATCTAATTTTTGATGTTGAAGCCAGCTTTTCAGCAGTGGGACAGTGAAAACAAATCTTGAAAAGGATTATTAAAAGATGAGCTATCACTATACCTAGTCTTCATGCTAACTATAAAAAATATTCCTAATGTTCCATAGTAATTCATGCTGTTGTGCACTACTGTGAAGACAACACTTCAATTAGTGATGCACAAAGAAAGGCATTTGCTTTCATCCCCTGGAAGTTGCATTCCATCCATCCAAATCCTGAAAGAATTAATTATGTTCATACAGAGGCTCAAAAATTCACCGTGTGCCAGATTTCACATCAGGCACAGCAATGAATTTCAATTCTCTTGATGTTCAACCTTGGATGGAATGGGCTCCCCACTGAGAGCAGGCTGCAGTTTTTAGAAGTTACTAAAAAGAATGGAGCTTTTTCAAAGACCCTTTCAGTAATATTACCTGCATCTCTTGTTGTTCTTTATTATTGTTCTTTCCTATATGGTTTTGTTTTTGCAATTTGGATTGTATATTGCTTTGATTCTGTATTTATTTTTACTTCGACATTAGAACTGATGAGACATTGCAATGGAATGAAAATCAAATAAATTGCAGCCAGTTGACCATGCATTGGGTCCAACCCAAAAGAAAGCTACAAGTGTCAGATTATATAGCCATCATGGGAATTCCAGAAACTTATAAACATGAATTCCAAAATAAATATTAAGAGCAGTCAATATTCATACTCTTTCCAAATTCCTATCTTTCAAACTGATTGTGTAAATATATATATCAATGGCAATAATAATAATAACAACAACAAATAGCAACAACAATAAAAGTAATAATAAAATTAATAAGTGGAATATATTTTAGAAAAAGAATATTTTTTTTGTTCAATTCATTTATTTAGCATATGGCAAATACATGGACTAATAGTAGTTCAAATGTCCAGTCCACCCAGCCATTTAAGGACAGAGTGGTCTATGTTGTTTTTGTTCAAATTTTCTTTTAAATGAGATTTTTTATTTAAAAAAAACCCAAAATGTTATCCTTTATGTCTGTTAAACAAAGAATGTTTGTAAGAAAGTGTAAACAATATTACTCCACTACAAACTTGGTCCATTCTCAAAAACGTAACTCTACCTTTGTTTTACCAGTTCCAATACTAACCACAGCTCCCTTTAATACATTAAGTTTATTCCAAGATAAAACAAGTTACCCTGGTAAAAAAGAGAATGAATTTTAAACAGAAGAAATTTATACTAGGGAAAACACTAAAAGTATTCAATGAAGAAAATTTGTATACTCACCGGTATACAGTATTCCACCATTGGGTAATGTAATTTATGACCCTTTGCTGTTCGACCTGAGAAAAAACAGCTCTGGCAAATATCATAATTGAAATGTTTCAGGCTCCGATATCTGTGAATGGAGTTTGGGGGGAGAAAAATTGAAGACGTTCAATTTTGTGAAAGAATCAAAAACTTAATGCCAAGCTCCACAGATTTTGTAACTCAAAATTTTAAAATACAAAGTGTAAAACACAACTTAATTAAAATAGATGAATAGATTGTGACACTATTCAGGGGGCTGTCCATCTCATGATTTGAGTAAAGACTGTGTGCAAACTATCCATACCTACTATTTATTCCATTAAAAACTATACTCATCTACCAATGTATGAATTCCGTGTTTAGTTTAGTTCTTAGAAATATCAAATAAAATTGAATGTAACTACAACCAGAACCAGAAAAAAATGACTTTTTAAAGAAATTTAAGGAGAAATTCTAGTTAGTAAAGCCCATTTTTAATTATTTACTGATTGGCACGAGAAAGATTGCATATCCATGCCGTAGTATGCCATGGCTTTTATAACACAATTATAATTGGTATGAAAATCAATATCTATCACAGGTTTTCAATAGTTGAACTATTTTCTCACACACAGCGGGGGTGAAGAGAAACCATTGCAGAAGAATGCAGCATATTTTTATATAAATGCATTCCTGAAGGAAGAGATTGATGATTCAGTATAATTAAAAAGGATCACTATTTCAAGATGGTGATTGTTACTAGAAGCAATCAAAGAAGTAACCCAAAGAAACTTAAGATTTTTAAAAAAATTATAACTTATATCATGGTCTTCTTTGTATTGTGTACTCGTGTTCACAGCTAGTTTTTACATTATTTATTCAATTATTTTTATGGCAATTCAAAAGAAGGAATTTGAAAAAAGGAAGGAGCAACCTTTAATTATTCTGTCCAGGTGTTTAAAATATTTCAATTTTACGCCAGGCCAGGCCACTTTGCTCTGTGACAAAATAAGTTAAGTTGAGAATGTTCATCCCATGCGTGTCAAGGCTGTTTCCTAGGACGTTTCAGACTGATAAAAGGCATTTTTGATTAGCAGCTAACAAAAAATATTGTGTTTTACTTAAATTTCCAGCACTGGCTTAGTGGAAGATTTAACTACAAAATAGGCAATTTCTGTTAGGCTGTCATAAACACTTAATGGCAAAATCAACAGAAATATATGATAAGGTTACTGGGCTCCCTTTTGTCAACGCCAGATGGCAAATTATTTTACATCTAAATGAATAAATCTGTGAGTTTCAATAAAGGAGAAAATGAATCCATTTTTAAATATATTCTGTGAAGAGACGATAGGTAAATAGCAACCAGCATTAGATGTATTATAACAGCATAAGCTGAATTTTTAATGTTTTAGAATCAGGAAAATATGCTGAAATAAGCTGTGGTGGCACAGTGGTTAGAATGCAGTATTGCAGGCTGATTCTACCCACTGCCAGGAGTTCAATCCTGACTGGCTCAAGGTTGACTCAGCCCTTCAGCCCTCTGAGGTCAGTAAAATGGGGACCCAGATTCTTGGGGGCAATATGCTGACTCTGTAAACCGCTGAGAAAAGGTTGTATGTCTAAGTGCTATTGCTATTGCTAACTGGGGTTTGTAATAGTCAGGGGCTAATAGTGTGGCCAAGTGACAAAGAGAAGATAATGACCTAGTTTTCTTTTTACTACTGACCCATTTAGAAATGTGAGAATTTCAGAATCCATGATTATTTTTAGCAGATAGCAAGCTTATATTATTTCGTGCAAAAAACTTTTAGAAACTCCAAACAACATTTGAATGATTGCTGACATTGATGTATCTTAGTCATAACGCCAATGTTTGTAGGCTTGACTATGACTTTTGAATATATTGTATGGAGATATTCTAGGGGGTTAGGCTGAGAAATGCTGAACCAGCTATAGCTACTCCAGTATGACATGAAATCTGATTTAAATAATATAATTTATTTAAATAATGTGATTTATTTTTATGATTAGATGCAATAGCCACACTGACTTTTTTTCTGCCTTTGCTCTGTAATCATTCATTTTCTTTATTTTATATCCATTTTTATCATTTATACTAAGTAAATACATCTAACACACATCCCTAAAGCTAAATAGAAGCTGCAAAGGAATCAAACAGTGATGAGACTACCAAAGATGGACAGAGAGGATTTAATCTTGCAATCTTTCCCATGTTAGTGATAAAAGGTGTCTCTCTGAAGTGGTTATTAGCATGGAGACTAGACAACCTGTGCCCTGGTGGGTCATAGTTTCAGGGATATTTCATTACCTAAACAGAATGACCACAGGTGGGCAAAAAAGCAGCAGAAACAAGATTGATTTCCAATATACTGTCAGCTTCCCTATTGAGTTTCCTTGTGGGAAGAGGCAAGGAGCATCTTAAATTTTTCTTTCTTTCCTTCCTTCCTTCCTTCCTTCCTTCCTTCCTTCCTTCCTTCCTTC